ATACAGCCTCTGAATTCATGGCAGCTGATGCTGAATGATTGTGATGCGCAAATGTGAGGTGGCAACTGGCATTGACAGAGCAAGCCACTAGTGAGAAAAACCCACTCCCTTCTAACACTGATGATGTCACCTAGTTTGGTAATGAAACATCTGCACAAAAACCAAGCTAAGAGAACACTAAGGACTCCACAGTTTAACCCTGAGCTACAAATATTGTCTGCTATCAATATAATATATCTGTTAAGGAGTAACCTTTAGAGCTTTCTTCTCCAGCAATTTACTGGAAAAAGTAAAAGGTATTAAAACAATATTTTAACTGATTCATTTGTTTAAATATATATATCTGTATGGAGAGTAGGGAGGTGAGAAAGTAAGTGAAAAATGGATTGGTGAATGTCTTTGTTATACCAGAAATATTTTATCACCGGCTCAAGGTTGACTCAGCCTTCCATCCTTCCGAGGTGGGTAAAATGAGGACCCGGATTGTTGTTGGGGGCAATATGCTGACTCTGTAAACCGCTTAGAGAGGGCTGAAAGCACTATAAAGTGGTATATAAGTCTAACTGTTATTGCTATTGCTATGTCTAAAGCCCGTGCCAGAAACTCCAAAAAGCTTGCCTTTGCTTTGTGCTTGCACGGAACTAACATTTTCTGCTCCTCAAGAAATAAGGGCAGGTGCCTATTCTGGAGACATCTAGATATAGTTTTCAACCAATGCAGCAACATTCACAATTGAAGGGATCTGGATAGCACTAGCTCCTGGAAGTATCAGCAATATAATTCACTGTGAGGATGGAAAAAGTGGTAAGATTTAGTTCAGAAGTATTGTATACTTTTTTCTTTTGTTGAACTGTGTCTGATGCAATTTCCTTGGCAAGGTGTTTCAGAAATGTTTCACCATTGCGTCCTTCCTAGGGATGACACAAGGTGACTGGCCCAAGATTACCCAGCTGGCTTTGTGCCTAAGGCTAGAACTAGAACTCACAGTCTCCTGGGTTCCAGCCTGATGTTTTAGCCACAACACTGAACTGGCTCCCATTGTATAAACCATAACCAATTAAATAATTGTAAATGTCTGTTTCTCCATTACAAAGAGAGGGCCATTATTAAACTTGTGCACCTTCTGAAAAAAATTCTATTGTGTAAAAACAAAAGATTCTAGGCATCTCCAAAGTTCTAAATCACGACTGTCAAATTCCCGGCCTGTGGGCTGGATACGTCATACGCTGGCCATGCCCATGTCTGGTTTAGGATATGTCATGTGACGCCACTATGACAACCTGAGTTTGACACCCCTGTTCTAAATGGTGCTCTGCCATTTTCCACATGATTGTATTGCTACTGAACTTGACAAGCCAAACTGTTGATTTTCTTCTCCAGTAACACATATTTAATATTATTTGCATTCATAGGATTAAGAGTGCATACTTATAACCTCAGCAGCTGCATGAAATGCCTTGTATCTGTGTTACATCTGTATGGTGCAATTGAAATAATATACAACCTTTGGAAAGCCCTTGCCTTCATTATTCTCCAGTGTTTATTAGGCAACTAACACCCCCCTCCCCCCCAAAAAAATCTGGAAGGCACAAAGCAGGTCAAACATTTGATATTCTGTCTCCCTACAATCTCCTGGTTTGGAATAATGATTTAGCACAGTGGTAATGTTACCCTGTAGCCTGGAATGTATTATTATGAAAATGCCCTTCCCTCTCATTCATCCCTACTGAATTGCCTCTGGATAAGACAACAGCAGCAGTATAGAAAAATATTCCCCCTTGACATCTCATCCATCACTTTCATACATGGAATGGAGTTTGGTTATCTACATTTCTCGTGTTCCCTAGTGTTTGCAACACTATTAACAATATCTCAAATGCTGTGGAAATGTAGCTATGATATACTGAACTCATAATTACCAACTTTGAATAATTTCCAGATTTGCGCTGATGAATGGAAAGAAAGGAAGATTTGCCTACACAACAAGTATTCTTATAGAAGAATAGAGAAAAAAGTTCCTAATATTCAATTCACTATTTTTCCTCTGCTGTGTTGTGCGGGATTGTAAACTACATTAATTTCCCAATCTTATGATCCTTAACCATGTTGAGATACTATACATGTAGGAATAATCATGGAGAAATTCAACACTCCATATTCTCTGAGCTGGAGAGGTTGAAGCAAAGATGGTTGTCTTGCAGCAGCAGTCAAAAGAGAACCTGGAATCTAATATGAGCAGCACAGATGATTGCAGAGCAATACTCCAAGTCAAAAGACTTGAAGAAAAAAATATGAGTTCTGAGTCAGAACTAGAGGTGGGATTCTTCCGGTTCACGTGCTCAGTGAACTGGTTGTTAAACTGGTAGGACAGCTAATATTTTCTCAAGAACAGTTGCAGAATGTAAACTCTCAGCATGAGGAGGAGAGAACTTTGCATCTTCAGCCACTCAAAGGCTCAAGG